CATCAGCATCAAAATCGCAAGCAATTGTCAACCCAGAGATCACCTACTGGAACCTGGAAAAAAACTCAGTAAAGACTGACTCGGCAGCAAATCTTTCATGTCCGATCAAAGAGGCAAGACAACAGCTCCTGTGTGTCTTCTCCTTTAGGCCCAGCTTTCCACTCGCAAGGCAACAGACCAGCCATTTCCGGATGGTCTTTTGGACCCATACCCTCACATTCTCCTCTCCCTAAGTTCATTTTGCCTCAGCTTCCCCATACGTGTGCTTTGGAGACGTCTCAAACTTGTGCTTCGGATCTCTTCATTTTCCCACAGCACCTTTCGCAGCTTCCTGTCCCCATCCATCCTCTCCCATTCGACACAGTTCACGGGTACACTTTCTGAAAAGGAGCAGTACTGTGTGTTGACGTATAATTCCTGACAAGCTACAGTGCAATATACCACTTTCCTATGTAGTTTTTTTACGCGACCCTGCAGCCCATCCGTTTTGGGGACCTAACTCATCCTCAGTATAGATAAACACTTTACAGATTCTAAGGGACCCACTGTGTATGCAGCTGCCACTATATCCATCACAATATCCCAATAATGGTGCAACTGCCGCCCTCCATTGGAGCAGAAAGAGCATGCATTCGGAGCTGAAGCAGCAACGGCATGTGAGAGGAGCATTCTTCCTGATATCAGGCGGAACCTTGCATGAGGTTTTTTCTCCTGGATTACCTTGCTTCTGCACATGAACCAGATCAGTGGGTTCGTTTCTGTCACTCTACGTGTACCAGACTATGGGCGCCATTTCGATGTCAAGTGCTTCAATACTTCAATCATTGTTACTGCAATAAGCGTGCTCTGCTGCACTGCACTCGTTTCACCTCTGAAGATAGCTATGCAGTACGAAGAGCAGAGAACGATGGTGCGTGGTATAGCATTGTGTTTCCATACCATTCTGAATAGGTTTTCAGTCAAGGACGAGGAGTTCTTTCAAGCTGCAGCACTTGGCAGGTGTAGCTGCAGACACGACTCAATACCTCATTCTCAGGCAGTGTCTCGGTTTAGTACGGTAGGTAAATATGTCGTGCAACACAAGGCTTGTACACACGTAGATGGCACCTCTGTACATCCTCTGTTTGTACATAATCTTCAATTTATTCATTTATTAACACAAATAAAGTTACCGTAGTTGAGCCACTCCAAGCCATTCATCAGCAGCACCATCCATGTACTGGTATAAGAATTTATTGAAGTACCAAATTAGAAAACGTGTACTCCTCTGCAATCCCGTCGCTGTAACAGCCCTAGACATCCTGTAAAGATTTACAGAATCCTTACTGGGGCACTCGTTAGCGAGGCCATCCCGAGGGTCACGCGACGAACCTGTCCTTCCAATTTCGTCGCACCGAACCACTCCCGAGTCGCCTCCGCACCAATCGCAACAATCACCGAGCCATCCTCGCCCAACCTCTCTGCCTAGCTAGGACTTCCCCTATTTAGTCGTGCTTTCCTCATTGTATCGGCATTCAATAATTCAGTAATCAGTTCATTCTCGTTATTCGATATTCTGCGCACTCTGCAAGTTCATTCATTACGGAGGAGTCGGTACAGGCCGCCGGGACACACGGGAAGAAACTGCCCGACGGCTAAGCGGGGGTCGAGAAACGGCGAGAAGGGCAGGCTAAAAGCCGGTGTGAACGGCCTGTGACCTTCCGTCGCCCGAACCTCACCATCCCCACCAAGTTTTAGTTCTGACTCATGCAGTCAACTTACTTGGCCGAATAACGGGGGTGAACACGGGCCTACCCTGCGCTGGTTAAAGGCACCTGGGTTGGTGCTCGTTAAAGGGGGAGTTGCGGCACTGTTCTACTCCGACAAAAGCGGGCTGGGTGAAACAGCACGCGAAAAAATCGGGGCGCCGCATGACAACAATGGTGCAGTTCGCTGGTTTCTCCTGACCCGGGCGTCTACACGAGGTGACGGCGCAGCGGCGAAGCGGGGACCGGGATGCTGTGGAGTTTAGTGGCGTGACGGTCGCGGTGGGCTGCAAAACGGTTGGGCGACAGTTCCTTTTAAATAAGGGTCCCCGACTCCGATAGTTTTTGCCCCTCCACCGTAACTGGGCTCGCGCGGGCAACACCGACTATGCCCCATCCGACAAAAGCGGACGCTGGGTGAACGGCGGGAAGCAGAATTGTCGGGGGGTGAAACGACCAAAAAAATATGAAGTTGCGGGTATTTCTTCGCTTCTTGGAGTGCGGTTGAGTCGTTGAGGGACTTCGCCTGAAGGGCACTTTTCGAAGTTGCCTGGCAAGAAACACAGCGGCAAGGAGACCTAGGACCCCCGGTGTTTAAACGCACACCTCGGGAAATTCTTCAGAAAAAAGGGAGCGTGGGAGCAGTCGTAGCTTCGGGAACTTATCAACCGGCGACGAGCGATGCGGTGAAACATCTGCAAAGCGCTGGTGGGAGAAAAGGGTTATTTTGTTAAGTAACATCGGCGGAAGCAGTTTTCGACTACGACGTCAACGGCGTTGATGCCACTAGGTTCCGTGAAATTCGGTCTCGGAATAACCCATGGCAGTCCCCGGTTCTCGATTGTACCCACATGCTGGGGTCGGGTAAACCGAAGGAAACTGATGGTGACCGAGTGGGCGGCTATAGCACGTCCGAGATTTTCGGAGGCGAACTGCTACTGCAACTGCATCTGTGGATTTTCGGGGTTGTGTTGAAACGACATTTTCGGAGTTTACGCGGGACTGCACAGGTTCTTACCGCGAGAAGCGGCAACAATTTCGGAGGAGTATTCGGCGTTTGGTTAAACACGCGCGAAAAGGACGTTGAGAAATAGCGCGTGAGCTACACGGAGTTTTCAGGGGTACGAACGACTTACGACGAACTGAAGAAGGCAGCATCAACAGTGAAGGGGTGGGAGAGACAGCTGCATTTTTTTCATCCCTGCCCAGGAGCCCTCGGCGCACTACGACAAATGGCTCGGCGAGTCTGGACAAAACCGCTGGAGGTGCTGACATCATCTGACCCTAGATCGTGCTCGACATCAATTTCGGAGTGACATTCGATTTCGGTTACTGCTTCAACGAATTTCGTCGACGCTCGTATTTGACTTTACGACGAATCGCCTTCACCGACGACATTTTCGTACCAACCCCGACTTCATGGCCAGAGGATTTCGGGATACAACCGCTCCAACTCTACTAGCGACAAATCCACCCACTCGACCCGCCCACGACAACTCCATTGATTTCAAACACGTCAGATGCCGCCAGCTGCATCTGCTTCAGATACTGCATGATTCTGGCGTGTGAAAACAAAAACAGGTTCAGTTCGAGCAACGCATAATTTCTGCCGCGGTTTCTGGTCTACTTACGTGTGTTCGCCCTTGAAGAGTTTTGGGGCACGTCACACCCGATTTCGTCATCAACTTTCCGCTCAACACTCTTCTTCGTGGGACTTAATGTCTGGCTTTTTGTTGGTTTCCATCTCGGCGCAGATGTGAAACATTTTCTGGTGTGCTTTCTTCGAGGGGGGGGAGAAAGTGCTTTGCACTGTTCTTTCCTTGGCGTTTTTCTTGGTCCTTTCTGACTTTGTCAGGTTGCGTCAGCACGACGGACGATCACGATCACACCGACATGATCAACGGTCCCTGCTCCATCGCGTTTTACTTCGCGTCAGCAGGTTCCCTCCAATCTCGCGTCAGTCTTCGACCGTCAGATCCACATCTACTTCATCAACGGCCCACATTCCAACTTCAACTTCATTTTGGGCTAGTTCATCTTCGACCGTCAGATCCACATCTACTTCATCAACGGCCCACATTCCAACTTCAACTTCATTTTGGGCTAGTTCATCTTCGACCGTCAGATCAAAATCGGACTTCATCGACGACCTACATCCCAACCTTTTCAAAATTATTGTCAAAGGCATTTCGGCCGTCGGATTCAGCTGAAGAGGAGATCTACGGAATCCTCGCTAGTGTGGGGCCTGTTTCAGTACAGGACTGTCTTATTTAGAAGGTGGGAGGGTGTAAGGATTTACAGAATGCTTACTGGGGCAACTCGTTAGCGAGGCCATCCCGAGGGTCACGCGACGAACCTGTCCTTCCTATTTCGTCGCACCGAACCACTCCCAAGTCGCCTCCGCACCAATCGCAACAATCACCGAGCCATCCTCGCCCAACCTCTCCGCCTAGCTAGGGCTTCCCCTATTTAGTCGTGCTTTCCTCATTGTATCGGCATTCAATAATACAGTAATCAGTTCATTCTCGTTATTCTATATTCTGCGCACTCTGCAAGTTCATTCATAACACATCCCCACCCTGGATTCTTAATGGCCCTTCCCAAACGCTCTTAACCCAACCGGATCGCCCCCTGTCTCCTTGCAGGGACAACTTGTGCTGCTGTCTGTCATTTTCATCCTCACATCCCCAATTCCCTAGCTCCAGTGTCTCCCTCCCTCCACTGCCAAGACGTCGCACTCGACAAGTAACTGCGTTGCATTGCAAGCGTAGTCCCCAGTGCGTCCCGCTAGACGACGGCTTCGGAAAGCCGCGACGCGAGGCAAAAGTCCATCCGTGCGCTTGAAACAGCCGACATATTCCCCGATTGACATCCACGTCAATTTCACCGACATATACGCCGACATGTTCCCAGCATCTCACCCTAACGAGTTGCAGCACGGCACGTCGATCCTTGAGAAATCCTCTAGGACGTGTACGGCCCTCCGTCTCTGCTGCCGCACCTCCTCCTTCACCTCCTCCTTGAGTCCTTCTGATTGCAAGCTTTGGATACTCCTGTCCAGACCTCCAGAATCTAACCTTAAAATCTACGGCAGCCATTTCCGCCCCGCCCGCCGCCGGGCTCTCTGTTCTTCTTGTCGCCACGTATGCTACTCGGGCCCTGCGACCAAGAACGACGGATCAATGTCGTCGCATGGCGATGCGACGTCGCCACTACCACGCCCTCGGAATCACTCATAATGACAACCAAAAACGCATGGCCGGCGATACTAGGCTCACGCAGCCGCGAAGTTTCTCCGATCCGGCAGCCGGAAACGCGCCTAACACAGCGCCGCGTAACGCGGCGCCAATCCCGGCGGCGGAGCTTCCGCCGCCCTCATTCCACGTGGACGTGGCGATTGCGGGCGGCGGCCTCGCGGGGCTCGCGCTCGCCGCCGGCCTGCAGTCGCGCGGCGTCGAGGCGGCCGTTTTCGAGGCAGCGCCCGCGCTGCGATCGAGCAACAGCACCGTCCTCGTCATCTGGCCGAACGGCGCCGCCGCCCTCGACGGAATCCTGCCCGGGTTGAGCGCTTCCGTGGCGCGACACGGCACGCTGGTGAACCGGCGCAGCCTCTACAACCGGCGCAAGCCGCCGCCGCCGTCGCCGCCAGGCGGAGCGGAAAGCGGGCCAAGGGAAAGTGGGCGCGCAGAAAGCGGCGGAAGTGGCGCCAGTGGCGCAAGGACAGGTGGCTGAAGTGCGGTTGGGAGCGACGGAGCAGTGCAAAGTTCTGATTGGTTGGTGGTGGAGACGGAAGAAGCGGGGCTGAACATGGTGCCCTGGCGGCGCATTCAAGAGGCACTCGCGTCGACACTCCCTAGGCCTGATTTGGTGCGATGTGGGCACCGCGTGATTGGGTACCGCCCTTTGTTGTTGCAGCCCAGGGGAGGCGGAGAGGCGGAAGCGGGGGAAACGGGGGGGACGGGGGGAGCAGGGGAAGCGGGGGAAGCTGGAAGAGCTTGGGAAGCGGGAGGAGTGAGGGGAGCGGTGGGATTGGGGGAGGGGAGTGAAGAAAGCGGAAGAAGTGAGGTTGAGGCGGTAAATGTGGTCTGTGAGGTCGCGGGTTCGAATCCTGGCGAGAAGCAATTAGTGGTTGTGAGGGCGAAGGTGCTCGTGGGAGCTGATGGAGTGAGATCAGCCGTGAGGGATCAGATGATTGGCGACTCGCCACGTTTTCTCAATCAGATCGCTTGGAATTCGTTCCTGAGCACTCCAGTTGATGTCAGCAGTCCCACTGACGTCAGCAGCTCAAGAGAATCAAGAGAGGCTGCTGTTCCTGAATTGACGGCCCTGATTGACGAGGTGACGGGATGCAGTGCGATCTTCATCACTTTGAAGAACGGCGAGAGATTCTGGCAGGTATGGGCTGGTATGGTCCTGGGAGGTATGGTACTGGATGGTACTGGAAGGTCAGTAGTGCCAGGTACAGAATGACAGGTACGGTTGTGGCAGGTACGGTTGTGGCAGGTACGGTTGTGGTAGGTACGGATGTGGCAGGTACGGTTGTGGCAGGTGCGGTTGTGGCAGATTCGGTTGTGGCAGATTCGGTTGTGGCAGGTACGGTTGTGGCAGGTACGGTTGTGGCAGGTACGGTTGTGACAGGTACGGTTGTGGCAGGTACGGTTGTGGCAGATTCGGTTGTGGCAGGCACGGTTGTGGCAGGTACGGTTGTGGCAGGTACGGTTGTGGCAGGTACAGTTGTGGCAGGTACGGTTGTGGCAGGTACGGTTGTGGCAGGTACGGTTGTGGCAGATTCGGTTGTGGCAGGTACGGTTGTGGCAGGTACGGTTGTGGCAGGTACGGTTGTGGCAGGTACGGTTGTGGCAGGTACGGTTGTGGTAGGTACGGTTGTGGCAGGTACGGTTGTGGCAGGTAAGGTTGTGGCAGGTACGGTTGTGGTAGGTACGAATGTGGCAGGTAAGGTTGTGGCAGGTACAGCGTCCTCCCTCTCATCCACGTTACCCTGCCTGTGCTGCACCCCTCATTCCTGCTCGCCTTTCCCTTCTCAGATATGATACATGGACTAAGAAATGGACCGCACTCTCCGAGGCACCCCTTTAGCAGGTTTCGGCAGCAAGCAAGGCATTGAAGCCCGCCCACTCGCACTCAACCCCTTCTCTCCAACCTCCCGTTCTCTTATCTCTCCGGTCCTTCAGGTGCGATACGTGGATTACGAAATGGACCCAACACTCCAAGGCACCCCCTTTGCAGGCTTCGGCAGCAAGCACAACATTAAAGCCCGCCTCCTCCCTCTCATCCAAACCAACCTCCCGCACCACCCGCTCTGGGAACGAGCCTTCCAAGAAGCTTCCTCCACCCCGGAGAATCTAATCTTCGAGCGTCGCCAGCTGGACCGTCCGCCGCCCGCTGATTCGTGGAGCGACCCTGTATGCGGTAACAGGGTTGTTCTTATAGGGGATGCGGCCCATGCCATGGATCCTGGGCCGGGGCAGGGGGCACTGACAGGGTTTGAGGATGCTCACCAGTTGTCCCTGTGCTTGGGTGAGGCGTGGGATCCGGACCTGCTTACCAAGCCTGCTGCCGTGGCTGCTGCGGTTTGGGAGTTTGAGGCTCGACGGATAGCGCGATGCGTGAAGGTGCATCGGCATGCGACCGGGCTGATTGGGTATGGGGAGGAGGGGAGGGAGTTCAAGAGCAGGAGTGTGGAGCATCAGATGAAAGCTAGCATGGAGTTGACGAGGTGGATGTACTCTTACCCTGACAAGATCGATGGCGATCCAGAGTCCAATTTTTTCAAGTGATTCTGGATTGTTCAGTCTGAAAAACAAGTTTTTAAAGCTGCCGTTGAGTTATTCAGGCTAGACGGTTCCCAGCAAGGGCGGATTGTGTATTGATTGGGAGGAGTTCATGTGGGAAGGAGGCCAGTGAAAGGTGAGATTGAATCAAATAAAGATTGTACCATATAAAGATGCGTTAGGAATGACCGAGTGATTAACAGTGATTCAGCTTCATAAAGCGTACCGTCATCACCCGGATATACCCCCAGGTGGGGGTGTAAAAAAACCTGGAAAAATGGTGGGTGGGCTTATAATGTGGTAAATTTTATAACCCCGTGGGCTAAATAAATGACACTTATGGAATTTTGATTTTATAACACTGGAATGTAGATTTCACCCTGGCGATTTAAATCGATGCTTACACAAAGAGGATCGCTGCTAAAAAGTTCCGAGAATGTGTCGTACAGTCAAGAATCCGAGTCAGCACCTGCTCAAATGTTGCAGATTTCGCGCACGTGCACCTCCTGTGGCAATTTTGCCAAGCGAGCCAGGGGGGATTTCGTCAGGCACGTCTGTGACGATTCGTTTAGGCGCGTTAGTGGTGATTTCGCTACAAAAAAAAACCAGAATTCATTGGGTGCGCTTATACGAAGATTGACACAACTTGGGGTGGGCTTATAATCGGCAACCGGCTATAAGCCCACTAGTACGATTATAACCGCATGGGTGTAACATAGGCCTGGGGGTATATCCGGGTGATGACGGTACTGTACTTTCAACAGTCACAACCATCTTGACTGCCAGCGTGCTGCTCCTCTCATTCGTCTCATCTCGATAGATGCTTTCTCCCCCTCTCCAGTTTCTCACCACCACCATTCACACGTGTGCACGTCGGTCTCTAGAATTTCACCATCACGTGCATTACAAGCCACGCCTTCGCCGCTAAAATCTCACCATTCCAACTGCATTAGTTGTTGGGCTGAAAAAGCCCTTAGGATCTTTGCAGAGGTGAATTCTGGGTAGAGTTGATGTAGTAGCGGAAGCGTCTTAATAAGGAGTTTGTGAACCACCTTGCGCTAGTATGTGAGGGCAAAGTGAATTGATTAAAGCAAAGAGATACAATATTATATATGAATACAGAGAATATGAAGAGACACGGTTATAACTACTTTACTGTTGCTGTTGCGGTTCGATACAGTGACGACTCGGGCAAGTGTTCTGTAACGAGTCAGTTGTGTGTCCTTGCTGTCGCGCTGCATTTGTCAGGTCAAAGGTCGCTGACCTTCGACTTTCGCGTAACCTCCAGCGGTTACTTCAACCTCCGAGGGTTGACTCGCTGGTGCCTCGATATGCTCTGCTTCGTTTGTACCTTAGTGTTTCGACACGACAGATGCGCTTAGGAACTATTGTTTCCAACACTCCCCTTCGCTTCTGGAGTGTCGCTGACGTGGCTCTGTCCAGTCAGCAGCATGCAATATTCGAACTTCTGTTTTCCGAGCTTCTTGGTCAGGTAATCAGCTGCCATCTCGGACGTGGGGCAGTATGACAGCTCAAGCCTTCCTTTCTCGATCTCGTCCTTCACGAAGAAATATCGTAGGGCGATGTGTTTCGTTCTGTTCGCGAAGCCGTTCTTGTTGGCGATGCGAATTGCCGACTGGTTGTCGCAGAATAGGGTGAAGTTGTGTAACTCGGCTAACTTCGCTTCTTCCAGTAGCTCGCGAAGATAGAGTCCTTCCTTGGTGGCTGAGCAGAGTGCAATATATTCTGCTTCAGCTGACGAGAGAGCAATTAGTTCTTGCTTGCTCGATTGCCAGGAGATAGGCTCGAGACGGTAGATGTAGCCGGTGCGTGATCGCCTGTTGTCGGAGTCGCCTGCGTGATCTGCGTCGACGTAGCCGATTAGCTTAGGCGTTGTAGTTGCGTTCTTATGATAAGTCAGTCCGACCGTCGGGGTACTGACAAGGTAGTGAAGAGTGCGGTCGAGCTCCGCCAGATGTTCCGCTTCAGGCCTCTTGAGGTAGGTGGCGAGCTGGCTTGCAGAGTAGGATAGATCTGGGCGGCAGGTGACAGATGCGAAGAGAAGGCAGCCCAGCTTTCTCTGGTAGTCGCGGACGCCGGCGGGCTTGAGTAGAGCGGAGCCTTCCTTGTTGCTTACTGTCGTGTAGCGGTACGGTGTGGAGATAGCTGTTGGTGTGAGTGCGAAACGCTTGGCGATGGTGTCGGCGTATTTCGTGGCGCTGAGGTAGATAGCGTCTTCTTCTTCTTGGATGTTGAGGCCGAGGTACTGTGTGACGGTAGGTGAGACTGTGAGTGTGAGGTCTTGTTGTAGCTCCCCTTCGAACCAGGTTGTAATACCTTCGGTTGAGCCAATGTAGAGTGTGAAAAATGGAAAAGAGAAGAGGGCTGCACTAGCAAGAATGAGGATACAAATAGCAAACCCTAGAAGGGTTGTACTCGCTATAGAGCACCCCACTACAGGCTAGAGCATAAGATAACATTCTGACATAGAGTAGGTCATCTACGTAGACGATTTGCAGGACGTAGTCGGTACCCTTCGAGAGCCGGTACATGCCCTTCGAATGATTCGGTGAAGTCGCGGCCGTGCTCTTGGTCGAAGCCACGAACGACCCAGCGTGCTTTGAATTTGTCGATGGTGCCATCGGCCTTTGTCTTCACACGGAAGACCCATTTTCTGGTGAGTACTGTCTTGTTCCATGCCACACCAATAGGAACCACCTTCCACGTGTTGCGTTCCTCCAGTGCCTTCAGCTCCTTGTCCATGGCTTCGCGCCATTTTTCTTTATGTTCCCCCCCTAGAGCCTGCTGAACCGTCGCAGGCTCTTTAGGAGCGACGGAGCCGTGGACTGCGGTGACGAGCCCGAGGATCTGCAGTCCACTCTGTGAGTAGCGGGGAAGATTTACATCCTCGGGATAAGCTGCTTCGTCTCCCGTTTCTGGATCAGGCTCGTTCTGCTTCGTTGGTGTTGACTGTCGCAGGTGTTACGTAACCGTTGTCGGCGAAGTGGTAGAAGGTTTCGGCGTTGGCACTTTCGCGAGGGTTGTCTTCGTCCATGGGAACGTCGACGGAGCAGAACGGAAGAGGTCCGGCTTCTTCTGATGCGTTGTCCACATTCTGCTCGTCCCAGTTTGCTTCGTCCGCTGCTGAGGCGAAGGCTCGGTCACCACGAAGGCCACCTGTGGGGTCTTCGTCTTCTTGCAAGTTGGCAAGGTATGTCTGGAGCGTGAGTCGTTCATAGAAAATTACGTCACGTGCTGCTACTGTTTCCTTGGAGTGGACGTCGAAGATTTTCCACGCGTTGTAGTTCTTTTTGATTCCCAGGTGTAGTCCCCACTGTGCTCGTTGAGAAAATCGGCCCGCTCGTGCTGCTGGGGGTCGGTACTGTACCATGCACCCGAAAACTCGTAACATTTTTGTGCTGCCCTGTTTCCCTGTCCATAGCAGATGCGGTGATGCGTTGTTAGGAAGCGATGACGACGACAACAAATTGTGCAACATGACAGCGTAGTCCATTGCTGCAGGCCATTGGTGGTTGGGTAGCCGCATGCCACGTAGCAGTTTGCGCATGGTGTTCTGTAGGGTCCTGTTCATTCTCTATGCTACTCCTTGCTGCTGATGGGCGTAGGGAAGGGAGAAGAGCTGCTTGATTCCCCTTTCCGCCAGGTACTGCTTGAACCGCTGAGAGGTGTATTCTCCTCCGTCTGACTGGAAGCTTTTCAGTTGTACGCCCGACTCTCTCTCTGCTACTGGTAGCCAGGCAACGAAGGCTGCGAATGCCATGTCGCGGCTGGGTAGGTTTAGGTGCCAGACGTAACGGGTGGCGGCGTCGATAAAGGTGATCGTGTAGTTGTATGTGACTTGTCCTGGTTCCCGATAGAACAAGATATCGCAATACACCTTCTCGAGTGGTGCGTACGCGGGAGCGCTTGGGTTGTGATGTGACGCGAATGGTCGATGCGGTAAGTCGCCTTCAGGGCAGGTGAAGCACGTTCCTCGCGCTCGTTGAAGTTCTCGTCCGTCGGTTTGTAGGAGCGAGTCCTTGTCAAGTACTCCTGCTCTTATTGTATTGTTTAATACTGTGTTGCTTGGGTGTCCCAACCGTGCGTGCCAGGTGCTTTCGTTGGCGCGATGTCCGGGTGATCGTCGGTACATGTTGGAGTTGGAGTAGAAGCTGGCGGTGAAGTTGGTGCTGCGATGAACTTCTCGTGGTGCTGGGTGCAGTTGTTGCGCTGGTGTTGGTGGTGTGTCGTCGATGAGGAGTGGTGTCGTTGAAGGGCCAGCAACTAGTGTTGACATTCCTGCTGCTGCCGTTGATGGTTCTGCTGCTGCCGATGTTGTCTCTGCTGCTGCTGATGTTGTCTCTGCTGCTGCCGATGTTGTCTCTGCTGCTTCCGATGTTGTCTCTGCTGCTGCGGATGTTGTCTCTGCTGCTGCCGATGTTGTCTGGATTGTTGCTAACGCCCTTGTTCTTTCTGCTTCAGGGATGGTGTGTAAGTACCAGAAGCCTTCTGGACTGAAGTCTGGATCAAGGTCCGGAGGGTGTGTCCAGTCGGTGAAGTTGACGATGGCGTCGCTGTCGGCAGTGCCAAGGTCAGGGACGAAATCAAGAACGAAGACGTTGTTCTTCAGGACTGCTCTGCCGATGTAGAGTCCTCCTCTCCCGTGATACAGCTTGAATTCTTGAGTGGTACTGTCTGCTTCGAGATGAATCCCCTTCGCCATCAGCTGGCTGACGCTCAGTAAGTTGTAGCCGAGTCCCTCCGCGATTAGTACCTTTGACATCTGTAGTACGACGTTTGTTTCCTTTGACTGAAGTTGAACTACGCCTTTTCGTCGTGTTCGCAGGTTTTGGTTGTTGGCGACTGTAATGACGACTTCGCGTTGAACCTGGTGTTCTCGTTGAACGAAGCGTCCTGAGGAACACATGTGCTGTCCGCAGCAACTGTCCAAGAACCAAGTGTCCCTTCCGGATGGTTCGCTTTGAGCGATGGCTCGTATGTCGGGT